ACTATAATAATAAAATAAATAATATTTGTTCTTATATTATATTAATTATATTATACTATATATATTCCCTTATAAGTGCATGATTCAAACCCTCTTTTGCCCCAACTCTCTGCATGTCTGGAGAAGAGAGTTAGAAAAACTTTATTCGCTAGGCTGCTTTCGATCTTCACTGCAGCCATTACTGGTTAAAAAAATAATAATAAAATGGCTAACCTTGGTTACGAGCTTATTCTTGCGACGTCCTCCTTTGAAAGCAAATGGCTTAGTTCGTATGTTATTCTAAAAGATGGTTTGCTTAACCACCATTTGTTGACTAAGTCATGCTTGGTTGGATTCCACCAAGCCACTAAGCCACAGATGCCCCCATCAGCCCATTTACAGCCCACCCCACTACCCCCAAAGTTGCATCATTGAATGTGATGGCAAAAGGGCTGATTGGGGGTGGCCTGATTTCTAAGTCAATCCATTTGGATGCAAAAAAAATGGGAACATGAGGTTTGTTTGAGATGAAAAGCTTCCATCCTTAAAATTCCCCCCCCCAAACATCTAGAACAGTGTTTCTCAAACCTCAGCAACTTGAAGATGTGTGGACTTCAATTCCCAGAATTCCCTAGCCAGCATGGCTGCCTGGGGAATTCTGGGAGTTGAAGTCCACACATCTTCAAGTTCTCAGGGTTGAGAAACACTGATCTAGAGAGCTGGCCAAAAATATTTGGCTCTGCTAGGCGTATCTGCTGGGGGAGGGAGGCTAAAAAAAGTCAAATGGTGGCTGCCATTCTGTGATCAAAGCCTTTCCCCTTATTTAAATATGGGTCATGACACATATTTAAAAGGGTGGGGCTTCAATCACATGTGTCCACCATCTTGACTTTTTTGACTCACAACCTGCAGCTTCCCATGAAACAAGAGATCCGTGTAATCATAAATCCATACAAAATGTCCCTCCAAGTGAAAATGTGACCATTTTTTTAAAAATCAATTCAACCAGGAGATACAGAAGCCAGATAAATTTGTTTGAAGGAACACAGCTAACTAATTCATTTCCGACGCCGAGGATTTCCCACTATCCTCCAACCCGTTCATTCAAATGGCATGATCCACATCCAAAGCATTCTTTAAAATCTGCACATTCATTCTTACCCTACCCATAATTGGCAAAATCCAACGAGGCTCCTAAAACCTTTGCGTAACCGCATCCCTCAGCTAGTAAATACAGCTGCCTCGGGGATTATAAAACTGTAATCATAACCTGTAAAGAAACACGAGAAAGCCAATCTATGTCATAGATGAGTCATGCACACTTTTCTTGCCGTAAAATCTGAAAAATCTGGAAAGGCCCTTGTGAAGCATTTCTGAATGTTCAAACAGGATCCGGAGTAGGTAACAGCAGAAAGGTAAGTGAGTTCACGGTGAGGTGTGAGTTATCGGCAGGGAAACCCCAGGCTGTGAGTTGCTCCAGAAGTCTGTCTCCCATGCCAAGTAGATGGGCAGGAAAACGGAATGATTATCTGTAGGGACAGAAGGATGCCAGCTGGAGCCAAAAATTCCTAACTTCATACAGTAAGTGATGGGATCCGGCTGCAGTTACTGGAAAAGAGATCTGGAATCTTAGTACAGTATACAAGAGTTGGGAAAGGATTAAGAAATTGGGAAATTTGGGGGGGGGGGTGGACAGGAATTAAGCAATCCAGGAGGAGAAATCAAACGCTGGGAAGTTTTGGGGTTTTTTCCCCCCCAAAGAGGAGGAAAGAAACAGCAAATTCTTTTGGAGTTTTAGGTTTTCTTCTTTCAGGAAAGAAGAGTTGAACACCGTGGCAGTTAAAAAAAATAGAAACTGTGTGTCAAGAACATACTGAAGTTGACTGCTTTGCTGTTCTTGTTGTTCTTATTATTCAGATTTGCAGAATATATTGAACGATAAGCTAGCCAGATGACTTTTTAATATTTATTGTGAGGTTTGGAGAACATTGACTAAGTGCTACTGAGTTTATATGATCCTATCAAAGATGATCTAAAACAAATACAGTAACTGTTCTCGGTGATCAACAGATTATACAATAGTTGCAGGGGATCTGACTCAAATCTTGGTCTCCATTCTAGATCATCACATCCCCCACCCAAACGACACTCTGAGATCCATAATGTGTGCAACGTTTTATGCACGAATTTAACTGAGTGAACTTATGGCACTCTGCTCATTCTTCCTGACTTTCATTTCTTCCATACCCTGTAGCTGTTTTTATGTAGATTATTTCTTTCAAAGTGAAAGGACCTGATATAGATCTTGGGTGATTTCAGAGCACGCTCCTAACAGATTTATAGTTCTGTTGAATAATATGCTAAATACATATTTCTGTTTTGGAAAAGGCAATATTTTCTACCGGTCCAAGGATGCAGCAATATGTGTTACTGTGGCAGAGATTCTGTGATATCTTACAATAATATCTCGCATTGTTCAATTTATAGTAGTGAATTCCTTGATAAACCAATGACTATTGAGAAGTATAAAATATAAGTTACAGTAGATTTTTTTCTTTTCCTTCGTAGTTTGTATTTTTAGTTTGTCCTTTTAATTTTTTCTTCAGTTTCCCTCTTTTAAGATTAAAGGTGGTTTTCTTAGAAAAATAAAGATATTAAATT